CCCTAGTGCTACTCAAATATATTTCCCTGGCACATGGGAAGAAGTACAGCATAGGGCCAAGAACACAGGCTTTAGGGTCAGACAGAACTGGGTTTGAGTACCATGTGTCACCTTAAATTGGTCACATGACCTCACAGAGAAGATGGTAACTACTTCGCAAGAGAGTTGTAAAGATTAACATGCATCTAGGACACATTCCAAGGTCCCCTCTTCTCCCCCCAACGATGCCAGTGGTGAGAGAGAAAATCTTTAGGGAAAGTACCCGCTATTCATAGAGACTCCCAGCATCTCTAATTATTTGCAGGAGTAATTAATATGGATGCTCTCTCAATTTTAATCGTCTTGGGGATAAAAGGCACATGGAATTCTTTTCCAGCATTCCAGATCTCTTGCTCATATCTGGACAAACATACTTCTGACTTGTTTGCTTCCACATGAGAAGCAACTGGCTGGTCAGAAATCACTGTCAGGAAAGTACGGCAAACTAATATAAAACAGTATCAATCTAAAAGCACCAGGCCACTCTGTAAGAAAATCTTCCCATTATTCCAAGCAAATCATTTTGCTTGCATATCAAGAGGAAGCAGAACAGTCTAATCCTTCATCATTAATGGCAGAAACATCAGACTGAAAGTCAGGAGTCCTGGCCCTGCCATTTTAAGGGTGACCTTGGACAAGTTTTTAAGATTTAATATTCATTTATTCAACAAATATTTACTAAGTGTCTCTGAGAACCTTGTTTTCATGGAATTTATATCCTAACATTAGAAGAAAGACATCATATAATAAATAGACAAGCACAGGGATTGGTAGGAAGAAGTTAGCAGATAGTGCTAAGTAATTTGTAGAGAATTAAGACAGCAGTAAAATAGATTGTGACTGAGTGGTTAATTTGGGCTGTGTAGTTGTTTTAGAAAAGGTGACATTTAAGCTAAAATTTGAGGAAGTAATTTCTCCTTTCTGGACATCTATATCCTTTCCTGTAAAACATGACTACTGAAGTGGGATGCGTTTGAAAGTCTCTTCTAGTTCTAGGAATTTGTGCTTTTGCAACTATTGGGGATATAGTATATGTATATACTATACAGGTACACATATTTTTAACATCAAACATTATCCTATATTTGGTTAAGCACATCGTGTCATTAGCTTTGAAGACATTTAAGGTAACAGAAATTATTTGTAAGGAACCAAATGTACCTTTGCATACTGAACTTTTGTCACTGTTTTCTGAGCTCCGCCTGACAGAGAAGTACATATTTTGTTAATGTTTTGGCAAATATACCCAACTGGTTTCTGAAGAGAAGGGTTAACATGTCCTTTCACATTCCAAAGTAGGCAAAATCCATGAATTTGTAATGAGATTAGAAGTTGTCTTAAACTAATTCTTTTAGTGATCACTCACAACCACAAATTCAGACATACTAAAATTTTAAAAGGTGAAACTCTAAGCCACATGTTCTCTTTTACATAAAAAGGGGGGAAAAAGTTTGAGATGATGAGGCACGGGATTTTTTTAAGGAAACATCAGTATTTTTACTATATTTTTCATGCACCAGTTAACTAGAAAATTACAAAAGCTGAAAAAGTCAGATAAATTGTACCAAGGGGATTAACACGGTACAGTCATCCTCTCCCCCTCCCCTTCATGCCTGCCTCGTCCTCCCTCCCACCTCAAGCTGGGGCACATTTCTGTGGTGGAAACAAAAGCCTCTCAAACTGCTGAAAAGGGAGAGCTTCTGCATTTTTAATTCTATTAACCAATCATTAGAAAACTAGAAATTGCTGTCTCTCTGAGAACCAGTGAGGTAGCAGGCACCACAGACTGTGTTTAATTTTGCAGGAGCTGGCTGGTTTTCCAGCAACACACTGATTTGTGGGGCCACTACTTTGGGCACCTCGAGGATAATTAAATATTAAGTCCCTCTTTGATGTACGCAAAGTCTGCCTAAGAGGATTACCAGCCACAGTGAAAGTAGCAGTCCCACATTTTGTGGTAATTGAACATTGCAATATCATTATCTATTCTTATCCTTGCTCTGTAAGAACCCGTCTCTATCCTTCATGTTATCTAAAGTGCCTCTGCGAATGAAGATGGGGATACAGGAAGAAGTGAAGAAAATGAGAACCCATCCAGTCAACACTTCAGGATCTCCTGGGTGTCTGGGATGTGGAGGTGAAGAAGACAGTTTAATGTGTGTGGAGGAAATGACAGATGAGGTGAGCACACTATCCCCGAGCTCCTCCAGTTCAAGGTTCCATTTTACGCACGAAATAGCCAAGAACACAGTTTAAGAATCTTCCCCAGGATTATAAAACTCATGGTAGAGGGAAGGTGGAGACACGCACACGTATTTTTCTACTAGTGCCCTGAACTTTCTACAGCTCCAGTGAAAGGTAGCACAGTTCTTGGAAAACAACAATTTAAGAGATAATTTAAACTATAGACATAGTTTTGTAAAATTCCAGAAGTTAGTGTTTCCATTCTAAGCCCATAATTTTTCTGCATTCATTCTCTAAGAAGTTATTTACAATTATTATATAAGACATAATTCCTCCATAAAATTCACTTGTCTTTCAATATAGATTTGAATCAGCAATGCCAGGCAGACATGGAATACTTAATTTCTAAAGGAGGAGGGAGAGACACTGATTTATTTCTTGGAGGAGACTGTCAATTAATAAGTATCATTAAACAAGTATGATAGCTTTCTTATTTCTACTACCAAATACTATATTTAAAAACCTAGGTCATTAGTAGCCAAGAACAGGGAAATCCCTCTCATATAAGGGGAAAGTGGAGGAGAGAGAAAATATGAAGGGTGGGGAGGACGTGACAAGACTTTCACTAGTCATTCAGGGACTTCCAGGAGAGCGATTTCCTAGAGGACTGGAAAAAGTTTGCAGCACCACATCGGAAATGTTGGTGAAATGTGGCCTTACATACAGACTTGGCAAGTGAGAGAAAATAGTTTGCACTCATAGCTATAAAGTTAATTTAGGAAAGTGTATAAAAAAGGAATCTTAATAATAGAGGCTAAGCTGCCTTCAGTCTTGTTTTTAGAAAAAGTTAAGCTATAAAGGAACTATAATTTCAGAAATATTTAGAAATCATTAAAATCTTATTGTATAAAAGTTATAACTTGTTCTTTGAGTAGCTGGAACATGGAGAAAAGCTTAAAAGCAGAAACGCAGTGATCCTTATATTATTCATAAGGGGCTTGGGCCCAAATATCAAAGTATGTGTTCTAGTGTTTCCCCATGACAGTTGAGATGGACGTTTTCCCTTTTTCCTGGCTTCCATGCTGTTTTGTAATATTTTCAGTACATAGATCTGCCATAACATAAAGTGAGGCTCCAACCAGGGAAACCAGCCTCATCATCCTGGCAGGCTCCTGCAATCAAGGAAGGCGAAGAAACCGAGCAAGGCTGAGAACCTGAAAAGTGAAGGTTGTGCCGGGAAAGAACGTGACTGCAGCCGTGTTCATTTGCTTCAGGACCAGTCAGAACCTAAGTTCCACATGGCAAAAATAACGTGATCTAATTTAGGGTCCACCTCAGAGATGCTACATAAACCTTCGTGTTTGCTGAAAACAGCACACCTCTAACTTCTACGTCACACACCTGGAAGGTATTTTACAGCCCATCACCTCTGTGTTCCTAGACTGCTCGTTAAAGAGGCAGCAAGTGGTCTTCCGAAGTAATTGAAAGCAAAGTGTTGAGACTGAAATATGCTGGGTGGTAAGGTCATAGTGCTTCAGAGAGAGTATTATTCACACATTAGTGATTTTTTATTGCAATCTATTTCAGTGATTTGGCAAAACTAGAGAATCTTTGATAGATCCATCTTTTTTGGATCTCAATTTCTCTAATTTTGAAGAGTAAGCAATAGTATTTACCCACTTGTTTCACAGATGGAAATAAGAATATGGAAGATAATAATTATGAAGATGGTCTGAGATGAGCCCCAAGATATTCTTAATATTTGATTCATTTTTTTAAAAAAAAGAAATTCATTGTTCTTTAAATGTAGTAGTAAGGATATAAATTAGAAACAAAGTTTTAAAATTAGAAGGTAGATTGAGTTGGAGTCAGACTCCCAGGAAACTCTTTTGCAGCTGAGATTATCTGGGAAGTCCTGGTTTCCAACCTGCATTGACATGATGGCCTACTCTGCACGCTCAAGCACTTGACTGAGGTTCCTGACTCCTGGACTCTATGTCCTTAGGATGAGTCAATTTAGAATTTAAGCCAAACTTCAACAGCTACCACATTTCTTTGATTTAGGAATTAGCATTCCCATTTACTCAATCAACAAGTATTGAAGCTCTGAGTATGTGCATAGGATACTTAGAGGGATTCAAAAGATGGTAAGTGCATCCTCCAGGGCTTCAGAGTTTTCATGGAGGTGAGGCAGCAAAACTTTTAATAATAATAATAAATAATTTTAAAGCTCAAATATGTGGAATTCAAGGTTCAATTAAGCCTGCAATGGTCAGGGAAGGTTTCAGAGAGAAGATGGACTAAGTGAGCCTTGAGGGATGGTATGGAGAAATCTAAGATCTAGTGTCTTTGCCACATTATGTCCATCTAAGTACAGAGGAGAAAGGGTGGGGTGGCGTTTTAGTACCTGGGAAGAGCATGGAAGAAATGAATTAGCTAAACTGCACACTGCATTTCAGTTCAGATATGCATTTTTCCTGGGAAAGGGTGAGCCACCCCAATTAACTGATACTGTGAACCGTCCTATCTCCCATGAGGAGAAGAATGACATACAGATGTTTGGTGAGTGAGACATCATCTATCGTGCATGTGCATGTTCAAACATTTGGAAAAACAAACTTTTCTGCACATATTCGATCATGAAATAGCTGGATTGATAAACATATTGGAAAATTTGCATTACAAAGCTCATCATTCAGTTGAAAGTAGTTTAAAGTAATCAAGAACTGACCCTCTAACTATTAATAGGAAAAATATTCAGTCAGACGCCTCCTTACCTGTCTCTGGGGCCAAGTGGCCTTGAGAATGGCTTCGGTTCTAAAGAACACGAGGAGCTTGCTGTCCTCCTCGGTCAGGTGAAACGACTGCTCCAAAACCTGCAGCACATGGATGCGGGGCCGCACCGGCCACCTGTCGTCAGCACAGAAAGGCCTCAGCCACTCCAGCAGGTCCTCGGACGAAACCAGCTCCTCTCTGCAGGGCAAAATCAAAGAGTGGATATAAACTCCTAAGTCTGTTTTTTCTCCCTTCCAGTGATAAAATGTGGTCATCGACCTAAATACTTGTTTTTTGGATGACTTTTTTCTTCTTCAGAGGAAAAAATTTCATTTTTAAATGGCTTGCAGAAAACCATATTAGGTATTTAAAAACCATGTAAAACGAATGTAATTTTTAAACAGCATCAAATTAAAATGAGTAATGTATATAAAGCAGAGAAAATAATCATTAACCAATAAGTCCTGAGCTAGTTTATTTCTTACACAAAATACAGTAAGTAGTAAGGCTTATTTCTATTAATGATGCTAATAGTACCAGGAACCATTCTAATAATTTTATATATACTATTACTATTGACAATAATTATACAAAGTTGTATCACAAATTACATATTATAGATGAGGAAATAGACTTCAGGGAGGTCATATATTATGCCCACATACATTTGGAACAGATAATGCAGTATGACCTTAAAGCCCATGTTCTTTCTATCACTCTTCCTTGGTAATTAGAATTTTAAAATGTGGTTAGAGTATCAAATTTTATAGTACCCTAAAAATAAAATATGAACACTTGGTTATTATAGGACTGTGAAGTCTAAAAAGTATTTACAAAAGGGGACAGTTTGTACAACTCTCTATCCAGTATTAGAATCTCTCCTGTTGTAATCCCAAATAGACCATCTCAGGAAAAGAACTTATTTGGTGAGGATGTCAATGAATTACTATTAATGATTGTTAAGTGGTTATCCATACAGAAGACTCACTCCCATGGAGCCCTGGAGATCCAGGCAAAAGCACTGAATTATGCGGGCAGGTTTTGTTGTAACGGGATCCCTATAAGGTTTTCAGCTATAAATCAGAGTCCCAGACTAACCTACCCTAAACCAAATTCCATGCCCTAACAAGATTAGAAGACATTTTTTAGAAAACTTCTGAGAAGAATAAAATTCTACAGTGCCACTATAGTTTGTGGTTCATGATACTTGGCAAGTGCTACTTTATGGCAATGTAAATTAAAAAAATAGGATTCATTATTTGTATTTAAGAATAAAACAAATTACAAAATGTTGTGGATAATTGGCTGAAGCATTCCCTGAATTTATCGTTTGTTAGTTTTACCTATAAACGTCCTTAATACTTACCAGAAATGGGAAAAATTAGTGTGCAAAAAAGTAGAATGCCACAAATATTTCCTGGATACTTACTTTTTGCAAGACAAACACAGTGTAGTGTAATGGGAAGACCATTTTTTTACCATTTTTTAAAAAACTCTGATGGGCCTAACTGAATCCTGGCCCCATCCTTTCTTAAAAACTCTAGACAAAAATCATGAATGTTATCATTTCCATTTTATAGTTAAATAGACAAAAGTCCCAAGAGTATGTCTCCTGGAGTCTGTGAAACCAACATAATGTACACAAATCACCTAGCATAGTATGTGGCACAAAGGAAGTACTTAATAAATAATAAGCATCCTTTTCATAATCATCATAATAATCAGCATCATCAAAGCACTATAGTTTGTGGTTGATGATACAGAGATAAAAATTATATGGTCTCTGTCATCCAAGAACTAATAATACAATGGAATAGAAAGGCTTTAAAGTGACTATTACCCAAATTACTAATATAACATAAATTTGAATAATTGTTTTAGAGGAAGAGTGAATAGAATCAGGGAAGGCTTCACAGAGGACATGGCATTTGAACAGGGTCATAAAGCAGCAGTCCCCAACCTTTTTTGGGACCAGGGACCGGTTTCATGGAAGACAATTTTTCCACGGGGGTGGGGAGTTGGGGGGGAGGCGGAGCTCAGGCGGAGATGTGCAGCCCTGCTCGGGACCACAGTCATAAAGCATAAGTAGGATATACATAAATGGAGAAAAGGCAGAATATAATGCAGACAGAACGGCAAGAAAACAAAAGTAAAGGATTTCAAAGGACACAGAATGTTTAGGGAGAGGTTAAAGGACTGACTGACATGTGGGTGGTAAATTAGAAGAGAGCGAGCTAAGGAAGGATGGGTTTTCTCACCTAGGTAACCAAGAGACTGAATACAAGGCTCTAAAGAGGAGGTGCGGGCTCTGAAGTTGTCAGGATCAGCTTCAGTTCCCAGATTTATCACTTCCTGACAGTGTTACTTTGACCAAGAAGTCACTTAACAGTTCAGTGCCTCAGTTTTCTTATTTGTAAATTGGAGGTGGATAACAATACCTTCCTCATGATGTTGTTAAGAATTAACAGAAACATAAAATAATAGATACAAAGCATGTGATACAATGCCTGGCACATAACTAAGTACTTCAATTAAGGCAACCACTACTATCGAGGACATCTGGTCTTATTTTGTACGGAATAGGAATGATGGAGGGTTTCTGAGCAGTGAAACATCAAAATCATGTTTGTGATAAGAGAAATGTGCAGGCTGAGGCAGACTCAGGCCCTTTTGGTGGAGGCGTGAAGCTGTCTAATTAGGTCTAATTCAGGAGGAAGGCGTTTAAAGCCCGTTTTGGGCCATGACTCCTAGCCAGTTTTACAGAACAGGAAGCTGATTTTTTGACCCTTTTACCCAAGTGCCAACAGGGGGATGAGTAGGATGAGCTAGAATGAGAGGAAGCTGGAGTTACGAAGACCAGATGGAAGTTATAACAATAACGAAAACCTTGAATATGGTGAACAAGAATGAAAACAACATTAATAATAATGATAACTTCTGAAGGCTTACTGTGTGCCATGAATTATATATATCACTTTATCATAACTATCTTTTTGATGTATACAGTTATCATATTCAATTTGTAGATGAGGAAACATCCTTAGAGAGGCTTAATGATTTGTCCAAGGTCACACAGTAAGTAGTGGCACCAACATTTGAACTTGGATTATCTAACTGCCTTGTCAATTACTGCACAATACTATTGAACCAAATTGGGGCATATTCCAGAACACTGTGGCAGTAGATTAAAATTATTCAGACACTGATGAGATATAGCAGGATTATTACTATAATATTTTCCAAGTTATTAAATTGAGTTAGACTCCTTTTACATTAGAACTTATTGTGTAGTTAATAACATTTGACATTTTGGAGGAACACACTCTAATTTTTGGTTGATAGTTCAAATACATAATACAATTATGAGAACTCATTCCTAAAATAGAAGCCCAGGGTGCTAGAAGGACCATGTCTTAGATCAGCTTCGCTGTATATCCATACAAGTATTGGTGCCCACAAGACTACACAGAAATGAAAGGCAGCTCTTTATAAAAAGCTGTCAAGGACACTGACTGGACACTATCTCCTGAAGATTTTAGCTACAAAATAGTTTACATTTTGATTTCAATTTGAGTTTTAAAAAGTTGTAGGGGTTCAGCAAATACACACACCCATACACACAAACACAGAGAAACAGAGAGCAAAAATTGTAATAAAATGTTAACAACTGGCAAATCAAGGGGACGAGTATATAGGTATTTATTTTTTTTGTCTTTGCAACTTTTTTGTGGGTTTAAAATTTGTCAAGACAGCTAGGCAACAAATCACAATTATGACTTTTATAATGTAAAGAACCAGAATGGGAAGAAGGAAAGTGATTGCATTTCTAGTCTTTTATGAAGGCAAGGAAAGGATTTAATGAGCTTAAGAATAAGAAGAGGATATTATTTAAAAACATATTTACTTCATTATAAAAGTTATACAAATGATTTTAAAAAGTTACAAAATAGATAAAAGGGAGAAATCTCTCATAGTTTTACTATAGACACATAAGCAACTGCTTCTACTTTTTTCCTTATAATGAAGATTGGGGAGGGCAATATTATCCTACATAGGGTAATTTAATAAACTATTTTTAAAAATTAACTAATAAAGTTTAATAAACTATTTTTAAAAATTAACTAATAAAGGAAACACACATTCACACCATCGGTTTTGGTCCAAAAGATAAGAAGTCATCTGGAATACATAAGTGGCTCTATTAACAGAAAAGAACAGCAGCAGCAACAATGACAACAAAAATATGTTCATTAAATGATTAATTTAAGAATGTGATATTATGGGCTGGGATGAAGTGTTCATCTGCATTTCCCTCCTACGTAATGTAGCATGAAAGGACAACCACAGAAGTACAAAGGAATGGAAGGGAAATGTCAATCAAACAAAGGCAATTATTGAGTCCAAGCAAAAAGACAGATATTAAGAATATAAATAAACTAATCCTCAGATTCTGCATGGCACACACATATAAAGATAAAATTAAATTTAAATAGTTAAGGCATATTAAAAGAGATAGTAAATATGAAAGCATTTTATAAATCATGATGCACTAATCAAAATAAAATCATTGTTCTTACTTGAGGAGGCAAGAGGGAAAGATAGCATTGAAACAAGAAAAACATACACCTGTGAGGAACACAGGGCACTTCATCTGATCCTCTACACCGAAGGTAAACTGGCAACCAAATGCCGGGGTTGGCTGGCACAGTCGATGCTGATGTCTCAAATTAAGAAATTTTATACACACACAGAACCAGGATTTTCAAGTTCCTGTTTAAAAATCAGACGACACAGTCATAGTGGCAACAACAGGCGGGGGCCAAGGCAGCAGCTGCCTCCTGCGGACAAGGCCCGCGTGAGCTTTCTAGTTCCCCTCAGGCTCCACCACTGCCTGTCTCCTCTGACGCCCAGTCACCTTGCTCATTCCATTACCTGCCTGGCCTCTCAGAAGGAAAAGAGTTTGCAGTGTGATCTGCATGATGCTAGAGAAGGAAGAGAAGGAAAGGAGTGAAGGGGGAAGAGGGGAAGGAGGTAAGGCAGGTGGGAAGGCAGGCAGGCAGGCAGGCAGGAGCAAGCAAATACAATTGAGCCGACAGCGAGGGACATGATCCTCATAGCCTATGTAGGTCCCTTGCCTCAATTAATGAACTGATGCAGATACTACGCACACCTTCCCTACTACACATGGAGCTGGGTGG